GGAATTGAACTCAGGACCCCATGTTTGCAGGGCAGGCACTGTGCTTGAGCTAAATCCCTAGTCCAGCATATACATTTTGGCAGGCATGGTATGCCTTTCTGGGAAGAGAGGCCAAAAGTCCATTAGTGCTGGGCATGGTGATGCACACCTGTAATCCTAGCACACAGGAGACTGAGGTAGGAGGGTTGCTATGAGTTCAAGTGCAGACTGGGCTATATAGTGAGACCCTGTCTCAAGCCCCTGGCCAAATCCACTAGGGTTTCAAAAGATGAGAACTATTTTTTGAGACAGCCTGTTGCCATGAAGTTCAGGAGGCCTTGAACTTAGTGACCCTCCTGCCTCAGTCTCCTGAGTGCTGAGATTACAGGTATGTGCCACCACGACTGGCAAGAACTGTTGTTCTACATGGGATTGGGTTTCTTTAAATCCACACATATTGTTAAGGCTGGACTCCACTGTTCCATTGCTTATATGTGGAATCTTGTGTTCCCAGGATCCCCTAAAACTCATTCATTACACAAAAAATGTTCATGGGGTGCCAGCCGCATGTCAGGAATTTGATGACGGCTATGCCTGTTTTAGTGGAGGACACTTGTAGATAGCGACAAGAAAAACCCAGGGCTGTAGAGGAGGGGTGCTGACACTGGATAGGGTATTGTAAGGGACATGACACTGCAGCTGAGGACTGAAAGAAAGTAGGGGTTTGCTGGGCTGAGAAGACCCAGGGCAGTGATGGCAAACCTTTTAGAGCTTTCAGTGGTACAAACAACCTGCTCGGGCACACGTGCCATAGGATTGTCACCACTGCCCTAGGGGAACCCTGAAGGCCTGAGAGGTCACTGTGGAGAGTGAGGCATTTTGTGTGGAGGAGCACTGTGGAAAGGGTGAGGGAATGAAGGACCTAGATCTGCCTGGAAACCTGCACTTTGTCCTTTCCTCCATCCCAGGCACCAACTCCTTGACCTCCAGAACCTAGAGCCCTGGGAGGTGCTTCAGATACAGCTCTGTGGCAAACCTGGGAAAGTCCTAGCTTCATGCCAGTGTCCTCAGCGCACAGAGGCCCAGAAGCATCAAAGGGGTCTCTGACCCAGGGCAGGGGCAGGAAGGCAGATTCCCCCTTGCAGGTGGGGCGGAGATGATTATGGGCTCAGTAGTGGACTGGGATTGCTGCCTTGCCACTACCTGGGAGACCTGGGCAAGATGTGTGAGTTTTCCACTCCTGGAAGTCCCTAGCTGTGAAGGGACAGGAAGAGAAAAGTGCTTGCCCCATGAGGTTGCCACGGAGAGAGAGAGAGAGGGCATGCAGGGTGCCTAGCTTGGTGCCCACACACAGTGAGCCCTTGTGAATGGTAGCTCTTGCTAGGGCTTTATTGTTACTGTCTTCAGAAGGACAGGTGCCCTCCTGAGAATAGGTGACAATGCCAGTGAGTCTCAGGTGGCTCATCATCAGGGAGGCAGACATGATCCTAGGGGAAGCTGTGTGTGCTAAGGGCAGCCATGTGGGCGAGTCAGGCAGGACCGAGGGAAGAACGTTGGGGAACATGGGACGGAGTTAGGATGCCCGGGTTTGTGCTCTGGCTCCCACTCACAGAGATCAACTCATCTATGTGACTTAAGGGTCCTCACGTGACAATAACAATGTCCATGTCCACCTGTGGCAGTGCAGAATGGCATCTACTGCTATTATTCTTTAGTATAATTTTTCTCCATTCCACTCTGCTGAATTTGACTTGAGTTCCCAAGTGAATTTTCCTTCTGAAAAAAGAACAAGCAAGCAGAAGGACCAACTCAAATGCTACAGACTGCTTAGCAGTCACAGCTGCCAGCTTAAGTTAATAAACTGCCGTTCTTGCTTATCAATCAGTAGCTTGCTTGGTTGATTTCCCAGAGCCTGGTCACCCTTGGGTGAGCTAATGAAATGGAATCTCTCCACCTAGAAGGCTTGGAGCTGATCAGGTGTGGGGGTGGTCTCTCCACACAGCACCCATCCAGCAGGCTTCCTAGAGCAGCCAGCTGGCTCTTCTCTCGGGGAGAAGAGGAATGGAATGACTTCTGCCTCTGCCCTTGGCTTGTGGCCATGGATGCTTATCTGAGGGGTGCTGTTTGGGATGGTCTGCCCCAAATTTCAACCCCATGGCCTGGTACCATCATCTATCACTGTAACCTGTGATTCAACCAAAGACTTTTCACTGATTTATTCTCAACAATATTTGCTGAGCACCTACTATGTCCCAGTGCCTTCTAGAGATGATAGCTTAATGAAGACAAGAGACATTGTTAGGGATTCTGTTATGGGAATGTGTTCATTACTGGGGACAGTGATCTGTTGGTATCTCCTGAGGAGATGGACTGTGCTAGCTTGTCTCTCAGGTGAAAGCAGGTATCTTGCTTAGGGCTAACATCTTAGTGGGCATCTAAGATCTAGTTGAGAACTAGTGACTGAGTTGGCTGCTGACACCAAAAAGGATCGGAGGTGCTTGAGTTAGTGGCCAACAGAGCACAGGACCCTTTAGAAAGAGTACATGAGACAGGCTGCAGGGTAGCAGCAGGATGAGGATGCTCTTAGAGTCCTGTTGGAAGAGTCCATGCCCTCTGCAATTCTTTGTCTCATCTCAGTCTCCCAATTTGTCCTGGGAAATGGACCACATCACTGTTTTAATCTGAGGCAAAGAGTGTCTCAGAGGAGAGCGGCTTGTGGATGGTCACTGGCCCAGGCCCAGAACCAGGTTCCCCAGCTCCTGTGCTGGTGGAGCGGGAGGCACAGTGGGCTTTCAGGAGGCAGGGGTGCCCTCTGCAGGGCAGAAGCTCCTTGCTGGCCAAGGCACACCTGGTCTGACACACACCTGGTCTGACGCTGCTGTGTCTGTGACCCCAGACACGGTCTCAGAGATAAGGCTGATGTATTCTGGGACATCCACACATGGAAAGGGCAGCCCAGAGCCACCGATAGGCAGGCACTGAGTGCAAAGAGCTGGGGCTGCAATGTATTGATCTAGCACAAAAAGGAACTCATGGATCACATCCATCCTCAGCAAGACCAGCCGGGGTGTGCGGAGCAGCATGCCCAGTCCATTCCGCCAGTGTTGGTTCTAATAGTGATTCACTGGAAAGAGCCTGTTTCATGTGATCTCACAGAGCTAGACATGTCACAGGAGCCTACACAGCACATGACTATTTGGAAAGGTCTAGAAGGAGAGGTAACTGCTGGGTGGCCACCGCTGGAAAAGACA